CAACCGGACTTTTGTTTTCAGGGACAAAGTTTACTTCAAGGTTGTTACGTGCCTGAATTAGGGATGTTAACGGGTCTTGCGGGGTCGGGGAGTCCTTCTCCGTCCCTGTCCCGCGAATGGCGGGGATCCTCATTCCCCACCAATTAATATAAAAAAATAAATTTTTTACATATAATTAATTAATATTCGATTATAATAAATAAAATTTTAAGAATTCAAGTATAATTAATTAAAATTCTTTAAATATAAATTATCTAAATATAAATAAAAATCAATCTAACATAAATAACTAAAAAGTTAATAATAAGTTGGATTAAATTTAAATTTTATTGAATTTGATTTAGGTTTGAAGGTTGAATTAAATTTAAAATAAAATTAATTTATATATTTTTTAATTTTTCATCGGGATGGAAATCCCCAAGAGGTCCTACGGGGTGAGGAAAATTCACCACGAATTTTCACGGAAAGAAAATACTCTCCATCCCTGTCCCGCGAAGAGAAATATTCTTTCCCGTCTCGTTCCCATAACGAAAACCCCTGCAAAGATCAGGACAAATTGTCATCCCTAGCATGAATTTTATTACAGGTGACAAGGACAAAAGGTGCGTGAATTGGGCGGGGCCTACCCTGCGAAAATAATATTCATTCCCGTTTCGAACGTGGGCCCTGGCTGGATGGATTGGTGGTCGCCTACGTTGTTGTACGTATTTGTATATCCTCGTCAAGCCTTGTAAGCCTTGTAAGCCTGATTTGGGTCCAAGTGGCCAACGTAGCCCTACAAATTGCAACCAATTATAGGACCCCCAAAAGATTGACCTCGTTGAGGGCTCACCACACACCTTGTTTTCAATTTGGTGTATAATTCTCCCACATATAAAACTCAAAAAAAATATAAATAAAAAATAAATAAAAGAAATGCCCTTTTCATTATTTAAGAAAATAATAGTAATTCATAAGGTGTGAATTAATTTTAAATTAGATGTAACTAGTAGTTAGTGTGTAGTACATTATAAT